AGGAACAAGAATCACTTTCACTATCAAAAATTGCACCAAAACCTCTTCCCTCTTCTTGATAGAGTCTACGGACTTGTCTCAAGGTTCGGTCGATTTCGTGATCAAGGTTGTGAGTAGGTGGTCCTTGAGATCTTCTTTGCATTCACCAAAGCTAAACAAACAATTAGCAATGACTAGCAAGTGGAAAAGGAACTAAAAAAAAAGCAACAAAATCCACAAATTACGCAAATAAGTGTGCAAAACTAGCCGTCTACCCGGCAACGGCGCCAAAATTTTTATCGGTAGACAATAGGTCGTTAGTTTATTATCCTAGATCAAAATTACAATTTATAACTCCTATCCTAGCTCTATCAAATTTTGCTTTAGATAGCGGTAAGGTAGGGTCGATTCCCAAGGAAACGGGGGTTTAACACAATTAATACGAAATCGAGGAGAAGTTGCTAATAACAAAAGGTGGTATTTGAATTTGTGTTGAAGAATTCTATGGACAAACTAACTACTATTGAGCCTAGAATAAACTAGAAATAAGGGAAATAGATTAAACACTTTTAAAAGCAAATAAATGGACAAGATTATGGAGATAACAATGACAAAAGCACTAGGGAAAGGGGGATTCAATCATGAACAAAGAGTACTAGCGAAAACCGAAAGGAAACCGATTCTAGGAGTATAAACTCTACCTAAAATAGTTCATTCTCATGCAACTACTTAAGCAAGTCGACGAAATCATTCACACATAGATTAAATCATTCTCATGCATTCAATCAAGGGCTAGATTCTTGGGATTAGAGGTGCACACACTAACTCCAAGCATATTATAGCTCAAATCATCAACTCAAGAATGAGTCCCAATCAATAATCAATAGATATTCAAATACACATGATTTTCACCCCCTTCCCTAGCCTAAAAACCTAAGCTAGAAGGAAGGGAATGGCCATAACAACTAACATAAGCATGTATTCAATACCAACACAACCTAACATGATTCTAACTTGAAAGGAAAATCAAAGAAACTAATAAAGCTTGAATATTTATGGAAATAAACTCAAGTAAGAGCAATAAAACAAAGAAAATCAAAAACTAGAGAAACAAAAGTAAAGATTGATATTATAAAGATTAAAGATTACCAAATCATCAAAGTAGTAGCAACAATCTAGAAGAAAGCTTGAATATTTGATTACAAAGATTAAATCTTGAACACTAGTGTTTTCTCTCTCTAGAACCCATGAACTTCTCTCTCTACAAATGATTTTTGGGGCCAATGAAATAGTGGATGCTAAGAAAATCAAGCAAGGGACTATTTATAGTCTTCTACCAAAAGGAAGAAAAAGGGCAAGGGAGAGGGCTCTCCGAATAGGCAGCCGCGCCCTCTCCAAGCTGGGTAAATAGCCTCGTAAAACCCAGAAAGCCGCGCCCGCGGGCCTAAGTGCCGCGCTCGCGGGGCTTCTCTGCCGCGCCTGCGGGGCCAATGCTACGCCCGCGGCACATATGCTCCGCGCCCGCGGCTCGCCATCTCCACTTTCTTCTGCTGGCTCAGACTTTTCCTGTCCGCGCCCGCGGCTTACAAGCCCGCGCCCGCGGCCCATCAGAACAGCGCGCCCTCTCCATCCTGGCATCTTCACTCCTTTGCCAAGCTCCTTTGGCATCTCCAGTCGAGCTATTGATTCGTGAATCGCACATAAGCGCTGGGAGCTGTCAAAACACATAAAAAGGAGGTAAAAACTAGAAGAAAAGACAAAAAGGGGAGGAAAAACCCGAGAGGGGGCTAAAGTGACTAAAATCAAGATAAAAGGGGTTAAAATAGGCATAAGCAAGTGACAAATCCGGGGGAAATCGGTAGTAAAAAGGGGTTAAAATGGTGGCATAAATGCCACGCATCAATAACCAATCAAAATTGTAAAATTTATGTTACCCCCACTCCCCTAAGATATAATATGACACCCAGTTTTGGCATGACCCATCATAAATATCAAAGGTTTCATCGGGTTTTTAATTGGAAAAGCAACCTCAATATTACTGGGACCTAGATTCATTATGTTCTGATTAAATAGTGAACTCTAGCGCATCATCACAAAACATTAATAAAATCTAACATGCATAATAAACTGAATGCATAAACAAGACATAGCATGGCCCCTAATCCTAAGAAAACTAATAAAGTAAATGCTCCCACTTGAATCATCATGGATCTCATCCACCTTGCTCCTTTGGGCCTTCACTTCATGGAATTCTTGGATTAACTGCAACCTGTAATTTTACTCAATTCTATCTACTACTTAAATACTTCTTGGCCGACTGTTCCTTTCTAGGAGTAGACGACTTCTTGGTGGAAAGCTGCTTGATTTCACCCCTAAGACTGCTCACGAGTTTCATGAGTTCGTCTCGGGTGACTGGGTTGATCCTGTCGCTTGGGAAGGATCAACTGGCTGCCCTGAGGGCTTACTTGGCTGTCCAGCAATCTTGCTTAGACCCGCCTGGTCATGGTGACGCTCCCCCTTTCTAAACTACGGATGCGTCTAGAGACGAGGGACCCATCACGGCACATGTAGGTTTAGACATCAGCGTCGTCCCCTAAATCATGGTCCTTCTGGACCACTATGTCCTTCGGAGGCCGATTGGTCCCAAGAGTCGGTACAGGTTCTTGTGAAGCCATCTTAGAGGTACTCTCCCCACAGACGGCGCCAAATGTTTCGGGGTTTTTTGGTTCCCTTGGGAGAGTTACAACACTAAGACTGGATCCACCAAGGGGGTGCCTGTGCTTGCAAAACAACGGAGCACCGAATGGTCGATGGTCCACTTTTGAAGATTAAGTTAGTATATGTTCGGAGTGAAAACGTGCGGAAAAGAAGTTATCTGCTTGGATTCCAAACTTAGGTGTACTGTTTCTTGAGAGTGACAGTTTAGACAATGATTGGTATTCAATCATGGTTATGTCATATAAGTTGTCCAAAAGATCAGATCCCCCTAAATGAGGGGAATGATCCCTATTTATAGGTTCCTAGGAATGTGTGCCCTTCTAGGGTTTGGTGCCCTAAGAAAGGGCACACCGTTTTTGCAGGGTCCCCTTGGGATTTGGGCCTTGAAAGCCGCCATTCCCAGGGGGCTAAATCTGCTTGCCACGTGTCACCATCTAGAAGGTCCAAGGTGGTGCCCCTTCCAGTGACACGTGGCTAGCTCGGATTAGGCCAGCTGGTAGGGTAAAAATACCCAAATCATCTATCGTTAGACGAGGCTCAAAGTGGTTTATCAAAAAATGATTGTATATTTGAAAGGGTGAAGATGATATGATAGGCTACAAGGGGTGCCTCTAATCATTGGTATACCTTGTGCATAGTTCGACATGATTTTTTTTAAAGCAATGTAATGAAATGATCATATGCAAGAAAATAAATGCTCATTTTATTAAAAGGGAAAAAGAAAAAATCTACAAAATAAATCTAAGGAAAATGAAAGGTGCCTATGCTAGACTTATTAGGGAAAGGAAGAATAAAAGAAAAATAGAAAAAGAGGTCATGAAATCTTGTCATTGAAGCTCGTCTGGTATCTTTTGCTTTATTATCACCCAGTCTTCATGCTAGCTAGAGGCAATGGAATCTTGTTTGCTTCTATGAGATCTTGAATGAGATTTTAAAACCTGTAACATTCATCGGTGGTGTGACCATATCCTTGATGGTACTTGCAATAAGAATTGGGATCCCATCTCAAAGATCATTTTTCTGGCGTTGGATCCTCGGTAGGGCCAATAGGTTTGATTAATCCTCAATCATAGAGACGATCGAAAGCAACATCATAGGTCATTCCAATGGGTGTGAACTCTCTTTTGGGTTTCTTTTTAGATCCTTGCTTATCCATAGCTAAGAAAACGTTATGGTCAAAGGTACTAACATTGTTACTAGAGTGGGCGTTTTCGAAAGAAGAAGGATTGTCGTTCTTCTTTTCTTTCCAGCCACTGTTGTTACTATTGTTAGTAGATTTTTTCTTTGCGGGGTCTTGTTTGATTTCAATATCGATGTCATAGACGGCCTTGAAAGTATTCAAATAATGTTGATATTTTAAATGCTTCGAATACTTCTCTTGGAGATTCTTGATAAACATCCTTACGGATTCTTTTTCGGTGGGCACCTCAATCATCTTAGCGGAAGTTTCCCTCCACTTATTAAAGAAAGAAGTAAAGCCTTCATTCTCTTTTTGTCTTAGCATCTCAAGTTGTCTATAGTCAGTTTCGACTTGAATATTACACTTATATCTGTCAATGAAAGCGTTTTTTTATTCCATCCCAAGTAGAGGTTTTCTCTTTATCAAGAGAAAAGAACCAATGTTGACAAACGGTTTCTAAAGACATTGAGAATAAAGAGTGAAAAATATTCTTATCAATCCCCTTGATGTTCATTATAGTTTCAAAGGCCCTTAAGTGAAAATAAGGATTGTCCGTTGGCTAGAACTTAGGGATATCATTGGCATTGAACTTTTGCGGAAGAAGCTTCTTGTCCACAGAGACCCCTTGTGAGCTAATGCCCTGGAATCTATAGTCTTTGGATATTTTGCTCAAGATTTCTTGCATGAGCTCCATTTGCTATTGTTTCACAGGGTCATTGATTTGAAGGGTTAAAGCCTTCAACACCTCAGTCACATTAGCCATTTGCTTCTTAAGCTCATTGATTTCTTCTTGACTTCTTTTTTTTTTTGGGTAAATAGGGAATTTTATTTCCAAGAGGAGACAAATTACAGCACAAAGTTATTGCCCACAAAGGCTAAGCAAAAACAACTACAAACACCACAAGACCAAAAGGTCAACCAAACACCAAAATAGTTCCTATAACACTCCTGCCACCTTCTAGGAAGGGTTCTAGGAGAGACTAGGAACAACTATTGGACTCAGGCACCTAGCCACCTTCTAGGAAGGGTTCTAGGTGCCAGGACCAGATTAACAGCCTAAGAACAACACAACCAGCAACCAAACAAACAAACTGCAAAAAAACAAAAACTGCAATAGCAGAAATTACATTATAAGCAGTTTTCTGTCAACATTAGAACATCTGCAGGCAACTCTAAACACAACATCTTTAAAAACAGTTTCTGCTGGTAAACAACATCCTTTAAACACAGTGTTGTTTCTCTGAATCCAAATGGCATACACTGCCTCAGCAAAAAACATCATAAACAATCTTCCAGCAACTTTAGTCTTCCTGCAAAATTTGAGGGCCAAGGAAACTTCATGACTGAAGTCCTGCACATTTCTTCTACAACTCAAAAGATCAAGAACTCTCTGCCAGATTTGCTTAGAGTAGTTACACTGAAAGAACAAGTGACTAACACTCTCAGCAGCTGTAAGGCAAAGAACATAAATAGGGTCACATTGCAAAATCCAAGATAAAAGCCTATCCTTAGTCATCAATCTGTTCCATAAAGCCAGCCAAAGGATAAAAATACTCTTTGGAGAAGCATGATTATTACAAACTAATCTTTTCCAAGGCACCTTAGGAGCTTGAGGTCTTAAACACCTATAAATCTTCTAGATTTGCACTCCAGGCCGTTTCCTCACCTTATCCCAACCACCAATGTCATTGATAACCTGTCTACATTTGAGAATTCTTCTTAAAACAAAGAACTTTTCTTAGGGATAGCAGCATCCCTACAATTTTTGTTCTTGAAATAATAGACATGCACCCACTTTACCCAAAGAGAGTCAGCCTTATGAGTAATATCCCATAAAAGCTTAGAAATAGCTGTAGTATTCCACTCAGGGAGATAAATAACATTCCAACCTCCACTTACTTTAGGAAAGCAAACAGAATTCCATCTAACAAGAGACTTCCTAGAGGGGTTGGAGTGACCAGTCCATAAGAACACCCTAAATATGGTTTCAATTTCCTTCAAGATCTTCTTAGGGAGCAAAAAAATTTTACTCTAGTAAGTCTGAACCCCAAATAACACACTCTTAATCAATTGCATCCTCCCAGCATTAGATAGATGCTTAGCAGCCCACCCATTGATCCTTGCTGTAACTCTATCAATAAGTGGCTTACATTTCCTAATAGTGAGCTTTTTAGAAGATAAAGGTACCCCAAGATACCTAAATGGAATGGAACCAGAAACCATTCCCAAGATATGCAGCAGAACAACCTGAGTTTTGTCAGAAATCCCCCCAAAATAAGCTTCACTTTTATCCATATTAGTAGAAAGACCAAAAGCTAAAGAGAACTTAGTGAAAGCTTGAAGAAGCAACTTGACAGAACATTCATCAGCTCTAGCAAACAACAACAAATCATCAGTAAACATGAGATGACTCAAATGAAGCTTTTCACAACTAGGGTGGTAATTGAAGTCAGGAATAGTATCAAGCTCATATAAGCACCTTGAGAGATATTCCATACCAATAGCAAAGAGAAAGGGGGACATAGAATCACCTTGTCTAAGCCCTTTCTCAGCAGCAAATGGAGGGGAAGGAACTCCATTAATGAGAACAGAAAAGAAACAGTAGTAATAAAGCTCATAATCCATCCAATAAATAGCCTAGGGAATCCCAACTCAGCTAAAACAGTTTCTAAGAAACTCCACTCAATGGAGTCATAGGCTTTCTTTAAATCCACTTTGATCAAGCACCTAGGAGTGATATTCTTATGAGAGTAACCCTTGATCAACTCGGTAGCCAAAAGAATGTTGTCGCATATGTGTTTACCAGGAATAAAACCAGCATGAGCTTCATCAATAACTTCCCCTACAATCCTTGCAATTCAGGCTGTCAAAATCTTGGAAATGATCTTGTATAATACTGTACAGCAAGCAATGGGTCTGAAATCCTTAGCAAAGGAAGGATTTTAAACTTTAGGAACCAGGGTAATAGCTGTACAATTCCAGGCTTTAAACATAACTCCAGTTCTAAAGAACTCAAAAACAGCAACATAAATATCATTCTTGATAATATGCCAAGACTTATGAAAGAAGAAAGAGTTAAAGCCATCAATACCAGGAGCTTTGGTGGCTTCAATTCCTTTTATAGCTTCATCAATCTCACCTGTAGTCACATCAGCAATAAGGGATTGCTGAGCAGAAACAGACAGTTGCCTTCCATTTCTCAGAGTAACAAGATCAACTACAGGCAAAGAACTAGCAGCAGATCCCATCAAATTCTTGTAAAACCCAACAATCTCATGCTCTTCCTCATCAGGTTTCTTCAGCAAAGTATTATAAGTAGTGTAAATAGAATCAATTCTATTAACACTCTGTCTATGCTTCATTATAGAGAAAAAATAGTGAGTATTACCATCTCCCAACTTGATCCATTCAACTCTAGATTTCTGCTTGTAAATATTTTCTTGAACATAGATCTTCAATATTTCACTTGCTGTATACAATCATTCTCAGCAAGAACCAATTCAGGGTTAAAATCATCTTTTAGCTTCACCTACACCTCTTCCAAAGCTGCCTGAGCAGCATCAACACATTACTAAAATGATTAATATTCAATTCCTTCACTTTAGCTTTTACACTCTTCAATTTATTCCATACTTGACCCATAACAGAACCATAGCCAGAATGATCCCAAGCTTCTTTAATAGCATCATTAAAATCAGTATGAGAGGCAATACAATTAAGGAATCTGAAAGGTCTTCCCTTACCAGGAAGAGAAGTAAAGACATCAAAAAGCATGAGACTATGATCAGATAAAGAAGAAGCCAAGTAAATAGCCTCAACATGAGCATAGAGAGTAAGCCAATTCTGATTAACCAGGCCCCTATCAATCCTAGTACAAGTTCTAAGCCCTAATTTAACCTTATTAGACCAAGAGTAAAAGAAACCCTTACTCTTAATCTCAAGAAACTCCATATAATCAATAAACTGTCTGAAATCCCTAATTTCATAATTAGTTACTTCAGTTCCATTCAATTTATCATCAGTGTGCAGTATTGAATTGAAATCCCCAGCACAAAGCCAAGGAAGATTAGGGGTATGCAACCCTCTAATGCCAGCCCAAAGATCCTTCCTGTCATGAATGGAATGTAAGCCATACACAAAGGTACAAGAAATTTCTTTCTGAAAATCCTTAGAACTGATAATACAATGCACATATTTCTCATTGACAGACAGAACCTGCAAAGTGAGTCTATCATTTTTCCATCCTATCCATATTCTACCTTTCTGAGAACAAGAATAGTTATCAGCCCAAGCCCAGCCTCTACCAAGCTTTCTCTGCATAACTACTTGATTCTTCTTTTTTATTTTTTTCTCAAACAAAGCAATAACATCCACATTTTATTTATAAAGTAGCTGTTTAACATCAGCCACCTTATTGAGGTCATTAAGACCCATTATATTCCATGTAAGGACTATCATGACCCCAGAGGGGGATTACCATCACCCCCGTTAGGAAATAGACCAAGAGTATCACCCAAAGCAAAGTAAGAGTTTGAATTAGCAATTCCAGTAACAACATGAACAGAACCATGAGTCTTATTCCTTCTGCCAACTATTCTCCAGTCATCTGAGTTATGTTGATGAGCAGTAGGGGCAGGAGTAATAACAGCAGCACCATGAAGAGAGTTATCAGCATTAGCAGAAGATCCAGCAGCAGAGATAGTTCCTGGAGAAGCTGAAGGTGTTGAGGGTAAAAATACCTCGTATACGTGGACCAATCTCATAGTGACACGTGGCCCAGTTATAGGGTGACACGTGTCACCATGGGAAGATGCCATGCAATTCAGAGCCCTTAAGGTCTCAGGCCAATCTTGTAGCGACACGTGGCCCAGTCAGAGGGTGACACGTGTCGTCATGAGAAGATGCCATGTGTTTAGGGCATGTGTTCCCTCTTTAATCAGCACACCAAAAATCCCTAACAACGTCAGGGCCCAAATCCCGAGAGATACCAATGAAAGCCGTAAAACGGCGCCCCCAGGGCAATGCGTGGCATTCACTAATTGCGCAGCCAATCACGCCACGCCAATCTAGGGTACAAACCCTAAAAAGGGGCACGAGCCCCACCCCTATAAATACCCCAATCGTTTATGATGGGAGGGGGATTCTTTCAAGACATTGATATACACAACAGAGCATTAAATAGCTCCAACTTCTCTCTACATTTTCTCTCTCTAGCCTTTTCCGTTCTGATCACTAACTTGATCGTCGGAGGCGAATATTCCGTTTACCGGAATATTCGTTATTTTGCAGGTGGACCGTCTCGTAGCCAGGAGAGCTTGACCAGAATCCGAGGAAATCCAAAAAACACCCGAAACATTTGGCGCCGTCTATGGGGATACTCGTACGCTATGGCGATAGACGGTCAGACACCTAATCCAGGCAACGATGGACATGTAGAGGATTTAATGCCTACAATCCGTACTAGCGATCCTCTGATAGCCACATTTCAAGAAGCTGATGACCCTCCTGTTACCGCAGCCTCTCTTAAGGCCGCGCTTAACAAACTCAGAAAAGAGATTGAAAACAATGGAGCCTCTACCTCTAGGCAGCCGCCCAGGAGAGAGGAGCAGAGGGCTCCAAAGAAGACGCACAGTAAAGCGGTCCATGCAACGGACGCTGGAAACACTCCTTTTCGAAGGCCGACTGGAAGGTCCCCGAGAGTGCCACGGACTAATTTCTCTGACTTGCTGGCGAAAACGCACTCGGCTGGGGGGAGGGGTAGGCAGCCTCGAAGAGAGGAGCCTGAGCAAACCAGACGATGGAAGGACGCAAGAGATTACCTTCGGCATAAGCAGCGGGAGCGCGCCGCCTACTCAGACACGGCCTCAACCCCAACTATGCCGGATGATTTCTCACATCATTCTCTATCCCAACATACCAACACGGCCATCACCAGCGAAAGTCAGGCGGTCCGCACCCCAACTCCTATTCCAGTCTTTCATGCTCCAACTCCTATTATAGCCAATCACTGCAATATCAGCCTCCTCAGGGGTTCAATGGCTTGATGCAGCCGAACCCCCAGGCATACGGACAATAGGGGCCATATGGGCAGGTGTACGGACAGGCTCCCTATCTAGCTGGACCGTCCGTGCAACCGCAACCCATCGATTAGCAGATGCGCCTATTTACTCTGGGAGATACGCCGCCCCCGTTTTCGCAAGATATCTTAAATGCCTCTCAGCCACCAAAGGTGAAGAGTGTACTTGTGGGAGCCTATGATGGCACGGGCAACCCAGAAGCGCACATCTCCTCATACAGGAACCTGATGTGCTTGCAAAGCGTAGATGACGCTACTTGGTGTAAATGTTTCCCAGCCACTCTAAAAGGTGTGGCGCAGGATTGGTTCAACAGTTTGCCGGCCGGATGTATCAATTGTTTTACTACTCTTAGTTTGCTGTTCAGGGGAAACTTTTCATACAACATACCGCCTCGAAAGACTAGCCTTAACTTGGCGACAATCGTCCAGGGAAAAAATGAGGGCTTACGCTCGTACGTCCAGCGATTTAACCAAGAAAAAGCCCAAATTCATAATCTGCCGGACGAAATGGCTTACTTTGAATTTCTCCAGGGATTAAGGCACAATGGTTTTAAATTTGACTTGGTAAGGAAAAAGATTCGGACATACGCAGGTGTTCTGCGGGAAGCCGAAGCTTATATTGAGGCGACGAACTTTTGTTCGCTCACAAAAACAGAAGCGTCGGCCAAGGGGGCTGAGAAAAAACCTTCTCAGCAAGACTCGACCAGCCAAAAGAAAGAAGGAAAAAAGAGAAAGGAAGTCTGGGTGGCTGATGCCCAGCCGCAGAAGTCCAAGAAGGTCAAAGCATACGAGCCTCAGTTTGAATTCAACAAGGATTTCTATTCTATCCTTATGGAAATCAAGGATAAGTTTGAATTTGAGACGCCACAACCGCTGAGAGGCCCGGCTCAGTATAGGAACAAGAACAAGTATTGTCATTACCACAAGGATGTGGGACATGACACGAATGATTGCATCAACTTGAAGAGACTGCTGGACACGCTAGCCGAGAAGGGCATGCTAAATTCGTATGTGATGAAGTCCAAATTCACTTACACACGGACAAACAACACGTCCGAGAAAAGACAGAAGAATGATAAGAACAAAGATAAGGAAGATGACGGCAACAACACTGATTCAGGTTTTGTGGCTGTGATATCAGGAGGATTTGCCTCAGGCGGCCCCACTATGAGAGGGATCAAGAGGACGCCCGCAACTTGGGTAAGGTAATGCAAATGGACTCAGTAAAGGCCGAACCTTTCCCCGAAGTAATCATCAGTGAAGCCGATCAGGGGAAGGTCAAATCCTTGCATAATGATCCCATGGTATTCATTATGAAGATAGCCAACTTGAAGGTCGGACGATATTGATTGACACGGGTAGCGCGACTGATATCATCAGCCTTGCCGCCTTGAAGAATCTAAGCTTCCCAGAGGATGCTCTCCAGGACATCACTCACGCGTTGGTTGGATTTGGGGGGAATGTCATCCACCCAGTGGGGCGGATAGACTTACTTGTCCGATTTGGGAAAAAAGGGGAAGGAAGAGATATGGTTGTCCGCTTCTTGGTTGTGAAAGAACTGACTGGATATAATGTCATACTCGGCCGTCCTACACTGAATGCAGCAAAAGCAGTCATTGTGCCTCACCTAATGCTGCTAAAGTTTAAGAGGACGGACGGGAATATAGGCACAATCCAAGGAAGTCAGAAGATGGCAAAAGAATGTAATCAGTTGGTAGTTAAGCCTACAACGCGTGGACCAAAATTGTCCAAGCCAAAAGAAGAAGGAACCTCACTCCCAACACAGCAGGTCGGCCAGAAGCGTAAGGCGGCCAAGATAGAGCAAGCATAGCAATTAATGACTGTCGATCGGCCAGAGGATTTACGACCTCGGCCGGCCGGCAGCCACCAAGATTTAGTGCTTGACCCCGATCAACCAGGTCGGACGGTTAGTGTGGGCACTATAGCTTTGGGTGTGCTTGGGGATGAGTTAATTCAATTATTGAGAGAGTTCAAGGATGTATTTGCATTTGATGTCGGCGAGATGCCAGGTATAAGCCTTGACCTGGCCGTGCATGATTGGCTGTAAACCCGGCCGTTAAGCCTGTCCGCCAGAAGAAAAGGAATCATGGAGAAGAGAGGAATCAGGCGGCCGTAGCAGAAGTCAAGAAGCTTTTGGACGCTGGTTTCATTCGGCAATGTTATTACCCAGAATGGGTGGCCAATGTGGTCCTTGTGAAGAAGTCGAATGGAACTTGGAGAATGTGTGTGGATTACACCGATCTAAACAAGGCATGCCCTAAGGATAGCTTTCCCCTGCCCAAAATCGACCGCCTGGTTGATTTGACGGCCGGGCATGTCCTGATGAGTTTTATGGATGCATACTCCGGATTCCATCAAATTCCATTATGGGAAGAATACCAGGAGAAAACAGCGTTCGTGACTGAGCAGGGGTTATATTGTTACAAAGTTATGCCATTCGGCCTTAAGAATGCCCCAGCTACCTTTCAACGACTTGATAATACAGTCTTTAAAGATCAGCTCGGCCAGAATATGGAGGCGTACATTGATGACATGATTGTCAAGTCAAAAGAGTCGGCCGAACATTTGAAGGATTTACGAGAAACTTTCACCGAACTCAAGCGGCATAAGACGATGTTAAATCCAAAGAAATGTGTCTTTGGTGTTGAGTCTGGTAAATTTCTCAGATTTTTAATTGATCAACGTGGAATTGAGCCAACCCTGAAAAAATCCAAGCCGTCATGGACATGAAGTTACCAAGGACAATTAAAGAAGTCCAAAGATTGACCGGCTGTTTTGCCGCACTTGGTAGATTTCTGTCAAGATCAGGGGATAAGTGCCGCTATTTCTTTCAAACCATAAAGAAGAAAGCCATGTTTGAGTGGACAAAGGAGGCCGAGGAAGCCTTGATACAGCTAAAAGGCCATCTACACACGTTGCCTCGGCTTGTCATTCCACTTAAGAGCGAGAAGCTATTCATCTATCTTGCCATCTCTGAACACTCCTTAAGTGTCGTCCTACTTGCTGAACGGGACGCCCGCCAGATCCATGTCTACTTTATTAGCCACGTGCTACATAACGCTGAGCTAAGGTATCCCCCCATTGAAAAATTTGGCTTGGCATTATACATGGCATCGAAAAAGTTGCGGCCATACTTCTTGGCACATTCAATTGTGGTCTACACAGACCAACCTTTGAAGAAGCCATTTACAACTCTAGAGGCAAGCGGTCGTATGCTTAAATG